TAATGTCTTGAGAGTAGACACTAGAGACGGCTTCAATGACAACAGTGAACAATCCCTTATGATTGTCAACCCATCGGGTATTAGGAATTTGAATAGAAGGTGTTAAAAATGAGTAGGAGGGCGGGGGCTTGTCCATCATTACAGGCAGACAATAGGGGCCCGTCTGGAGCCTCCCGTCTCTGAATAGAGGAATCCATGTGTAGCCGAGTATCTCATTAGTGGTTTGTTCCAATTGTTTGGGTTTAGTGTGGATGTGATAGAAAGTGAAGAGAATATGTGTCTGTTCTGTCAGTTTTGAGGGTAACTTTACTTTGATTTCATCGTTAAAATCGGGACATTTGTTGTGATAGTTAACTGAAGTGAACGCTTCCGCTCCAAACTCCGGACAACTGGACTTTCCGAATATAATGGGAAGACAGCTGTAGTCGTCCTCATTGCTCATCACTTGTATTTTGACGGCTATATTACGAGCGGATCCCTGTCTGTTCGTGAAGTTCACATTTTTCGGGTTTATATAGAATAATGTCTTGAGAGTAGACACTAGAGACGGCTTCAATGACAACAGTGAACAATCCCTTATGATTGTCAACCCATCGGGTATTAGGAATTTGAATAGAAGGTGTTAAAAATGAGTAGGAGGGCGGGGGTTTGTCCATCATTACAGGCAGACAATAGGGGCCCGTCTGGAGCCTGCCGTCTCTGAATAGAGGAATCCATGTGTAGCCGAGTATCTCATTAGTGGTTTGTTCCAATTGTTTGGGTTTAGTGTGGATGTGATAGAAAGTGAAGAGAATATGGGTCTGTTCTGTCAGTTTTGAGGGTAACTTCACTTTGATTTCATCGTTAAAATCGGGACATTTGTTGTGATAGTTAACTGAAGTGAACGCTTCCGCTCCAAACTCCGGACAACTCCTGAAAGGCTTATATTACCCTTCTGTCGACATCAGCAGGAGTAACGAGTAGTGAACATAAAACTGCCGATATAATGCTCGCCTAGGGACAGACAAGCACTTCAAGTGTAAAAAGCCCAAATATATCTGTAGGTTTCGGTAGACATAATGCGGGCAATAAACTTCTTTCGACGGGAATTCTAACACCTCTTTAATAGGCCTTCCCTTGTCGTCGGGATAGGGATGTATTCGTACTAACTCTGGTGTTAAGCAATATTTGGGGAATTGTTCGGGAAATGGAGAAATGTCTATTTTAAGTACTCCGGGAATACATTTAAGTCGTTTTAGTGTAGAAGTCGGCCGTTTCAGGTCCAACAGGTATTTATATAAGTCTTCATCCGTTAGTCTGTCGTTATCCTAATTATACACATTATATCATCACCATTAATAAAGGCTACTAAAACCACGATCAAATAAAAACTTGCATCTGGGCTATAAATAAACATTAACCCCTAGACTTATTGCTAACATATTATATTATATTATTCTTGTGACTAAAAATGTTTATCAAATAATGTATAGAATCTATAAATATTTATGAATTATTGTTTCGATTGTATATCAATTATACTGCAAAGCGGAACTAAACTGTAAAACACAGTGCAATACAACGCCTATAATTAACATATGTTTGTTATACACATCTGTCATATTATCGCAGCTTTTGTATAAGTTTGCAAAGAGTTGTAAATATATTTTGAATGCAATAATAAATAAATTGAATGTCAGTCAGACCTGTTTGAAGAAGCTGTTGATGGTAAGGGTGACCGCATGGAAGCTACTGATGGCATCCGAGAGTTCTTCGGCTGAAAAGCTGCGCCTTTTGTCACTCTTTTGGCGCTCGAGAGAACCCTTCCGACTGAGAGAACCGGAATCATTGCATCGCTTCTTAATACTGTCGAGACTATTACAACTGCCTTTGTTTTCGCCACAATCGCTCCCATTAGAGCCGTTCTGGCCGTTTGTCTCAGTAGTTCCGATGCCATTGAACACATCCAACAGATAGACCGCAGTCCAGGCGAAAGGCATGCGGTATTTCCCGAGTCGTTCACAGCAAAGGGCTGCGTTTGTCTTCAACTTCTCGCGATTCTTCTCGTCCTTCATATAGGGTTCCGCGCATTCATTGACGTCTCCCTGAAGTACTTTCTCCAGTTTTATCACTAAAAACATATCACTCGTTGGGTTCGTTATATTGAAAATACAGGATCGGCTCAAAGTAGACACGTCTTGGTATTGGATGTGAGTGGAGAGCAGTCTTTTGAGTCCCTCTGCGTTGACATCAAAATAGAAATTTTCCGACAATTTCTTACGCTCTTTGGCGTCATATAAGGCCAGAGAAGCAAAGATGGGCTCAATTTCGAGCTCCAGTTTCATCGATAGACACTTCACGACAATTCGATGTCTATGGGGTTCACTGGGGGCCGGGATTTGTTGTCGCAATTCAATCAATTCGTCGTCTTCTTGGAGAGGATAGAGAGTAAACAATGAGTGATGTCTTCCCTCCTGTCGTCGCAATTCGTTGATGCGATCGATTTGATCGCTTTGGATGTCGTCCAAGAGGTTGGGAATGAGTGGATCCGACTGTGAGTTTCGTAAATGAAATATAGAGCTCGTTGTGGTCCGGGATCCGCGCTGTGGACCACAGTTTGAGTGCAGACTCTGAGTTCGCTCGAGATTTTTGGAATTTCGCGGAGAATCTATGAAATGCCACGAAGACCGCGAAGACCTCGAGTTCGCACAGTCGTAGACACTTCCGCGCGGAGTCGTGTCCCTCGACGTCAATGTACTGGAAGTGGGCGTACATTCACTCAGAAGGGACTGTCTGTTGGACGGCGGCGTCGCAGAGCCCTCCGACGTGTCCTCATCCGAGGCCAGCGGTGGCCGCAAATAGAGCGGCAAATCTGTGGCGATCTTCGACTGCGGTCGCGATGACTGACATGAGGTGGTTGTCGAGCATTGAATGGGAGTCCTGTCCTGAGATGTGTCACAAAAACCATTTTCGGTGAAGTTATTCACTTCGACGTCCACTTCATACTCATGTCGAGCACTTGTCTTCGTTTGAGACACTCTTTCAATACTTCTGTCATTGAATTGAATGTATTGTTCATATCTATGAATATATCAAACAATCATTAGTTTCATACAAACAGATGGAAATGACATTCAAAACAAACTTTTTGTGGACAACTATCCAATTAGAGGTATAACACTGGAGACATTGATTAATGTGAGGGTTTTCTTGAGCGCTGACATCATCGAAGTCAGGGATAATGGGTTTAATGGTAGGTATGAGTCGTTGGCAGACATTGACTTCAATGTCATCGGAAGGAAACGAAAGAAATGTTTTCAATGGATCGCTAGTAATGAGTGATTGGTTGGAGACAACAAACTCTTCCCAATCTATCGGTTCTATCACTTCATTCAATGGCACCTAAAGTGGTAGACAATGGTATCAATGGATCTAATCATCTAATCTGAGCGAATGAAGCGTTTTTGTAGGGTTTCTTGACAACCCGGCTGACAAACTGTCTATAAACCCTTCTGAAAACTGTTAGAAAACGGCTTACCAAAGCAAACTGAGAGATAACCTAGGTTGTTCACTAATCACATAGCAAGCATAGGCAATGAATGAATACCTGGATAACTTAGTAGCGAAGGCCCTGCGAGAGCTCATCGTGTGGTGAATTGATGGCCAAATGTTGACACAAACGGTGTTTCCTATGAATTGTCGCTCGCAGTCAACTGAATCCAAGTGAAAGGCAATGCATTTGTGTGGAGAGAGTGTAACGTAAACACCGCACAAATAATGCCTTCAAAGGCACTGCAAACTGGCTGCAGAATGGCTGTGAAAGTGGTTCGCCTTTTGTGTGCATATATTACACAACATTTATGTCCAACACATGATACCAAACATCAATGACTCACTCATTGTGAACTGTTTACGCGAATATAGTATTTGTTTCGGTGTTTTGTGTCTCATTTGATTGACAACTAATTGCAACCACTTTTCAAACTAATGTTTAGTAAATGGTTTGAAATGCAAACTCAGTTCAAGTCAATTATATGATGTGTTATTGAGTTAAGCACTCATTGAATGCAAACATTGAATAGTCAAGTGTTTTGAGCTTTTCTTTCATTTATTTCATGATTTAGTCGTGAATTTTGTTTTGAATAACAAATCAAATGTTTTATTGTATTGAATGTGAATTGAATTTGTGATTCAATTACTCAATGAATGCATGAATTATAAGTTAAAAGCATTTGTTTAGCAAACTTTGTGTTGTGTAATAGCATTGCGAGTCAAATGTCTTGATTGTCACCGACAAGGGGTTTGGCGTCACATTCAAAGACAATTTGTGAGACAAATGCTAAGCACCCCCGCCCTCCTACTCATTTTTAACACCTTCTATTCAAATTCCTAATACCCGATGGGTTGACAATCATAAGGGATTGTTCACTGTTGTCATTGAAGCCGTCTCTAGTGTCTACTCTCAAGACATTAATTTAGATAATTTTCTCCATTTGTCGACCGCTATTGACGAACAAAATATTCCTCAAAGACTTTTACCGAATATTGAAAACGAGTTCAAAACGAGTATCCTTTCGATATCGAGCGCTCAAATCGAGCCTTTGGTTCAATTCGTGCCAATAGTCTTGAATCGATTGATCCGTCTATTAGTGCGTCCGCCGGTTATTAACGGCAATCAAATCCTTAATATTTCTCAATCGGTATTTGAATCGATCGCTTCAATCGTCTCCAAGATTAACAAAACTCTGTATTCAGAATACAATGACATGAGAACCGGCATACTCTCGACATTTATCCACTATCAGGTGATATTCCCGCCCCCGCAGACCCTACCCCATGGTTTTATAAGTCAATCGAATCTGGACTCGGATGGCGATCACACCATTTTCCATACGAGCCCTTCATATCACACTCGAAGTAACAGCAACCCTGACGTTCCCATTGGCACCGTTAGTGAGACACCTTTCCAGATGAATAAAGGACTGGACAGAGCCATGAGTGTCCGCTCTCCACAATCAAACACTCAGTATTTATCTGAAAATTCAATTTACAATAACAAGAAAGGAATGGTAACTAATCTTCAGAAGCTATTCCACGAGGAATTGGTTCTGCAGTGGTTGGTGTCGAGTGGGATGTGCCGAGACGTCGCCCTTTCAAACGCCGGCTTTTTCTTTGATATTATAGTGAAGAGTATTTGCGAACATTTGGCTGTTTGTGGAGCCCTTCACAGCCCCCGAAGGGAACGCTTCCCCAAACAGTTCACCGATGATATAATATCACTAATCAATTTGATTACCTCGGATATAATTAATCGATTGAATCGTGAGCTCAAAGATCTAAAATTGATTCACTCATTGAACAATTCGGTGGCCTTTTTCATACGTGACTTACTGTCCCTTTTGGACAGATATTATGTCTTCAATTTGATACGAATTTACTTCAAACAGATGTCAAACAATATTCAGTTCACATCCGAGACGAGTACGAACTACTCATTCCTCCTACGGCTAGACTTCATGCGTATAGTGAGCGGACACGAGCACTTCATTTGCCTCAACCTGCCCTTCGCGACCCCCATATTCCCCACAACACCCACATCTTCATCACAGCCTAAATCATGGGATCAAAGCTCCCTTTTCTCGCCGCTCGACAGAACCCTTACCACACTTTTGGACCGAATTACTACTTTCAGCGAATTAACAGATGACTACCGGCGCCAACACTTTCTCACTGGCATTATATTCTGTTCCCTTTCATTGGCGCTGGAAGTGAACAGCGCTTCCGTTCACTCGAAGGCTATTAATTTAATCCGAGGTTTAATGACTTCTCACGACTGGGACTGTCGTTACAGCGAGCCTGAAGTCAAGTCCAGAATAGCATCACTTTATTTGCCATTAATTGCAATAGTTTTGGACGCTTTGCCACAACTCTATGACTGGAAATCTGACGATGTCTTCAAAACTGATTCGAGAGCTCCGTCGGCGTGTAATACACTTAAGAGAAACTCTGATGAAAAGAGGCGTCCAATTGTTCTCAACAGTAATAGTGATTTGGATGACTTGACTGCCAGTCCATTAACCAGTCCTCTGAATCAATCGGTTGCGATGGCTATCGCCGGTTCCGGTGTTTTCACTCGTTCTGAAGAGGAAAGTTATGAACCGAGACGATGGCCTCTTAGAGAGGACACTACCAAACATTTGTTGATATGTTTTCTTTGGGTCATTAAAAACGCCAATCAATCAGTTCTCTATCGATATTTAAACGAAATGCCTTTCCATCGGATCTATCAGTTCCTAGAAGTGCTTAAGATATGTGTTTCGTGTTTTGAATACAAGGGCCTAAAAGCTATCAAAAAAGCGAGTCTCTTATCGTTCAAAAAGCCTTTTGATTTAAAATCGAAATTAGAGGACGCGATCCTCGGTCTGGGAAGCGCTCGAAGGGAACTCATTCTGCGAAGACGTGACAGAAATCCTCCGCAGTCTTCGCAGAGCTTCTCTCAGTCAGACTCTCTCCGGTGGCGTAAAGACCATACACTCACCCGATATAACAGTAGCGCCAATCAAATGGAGAGAACAAAACAGGACTACGAGACCGAAGCCATTCTGAGTGGCAATCTGTGCGCTGAACTCAATTTAGTCGTCTTGGATGCCATCGAGAAAGTGACCACTATTTTGATCCAACACTCGGATTGTGATAACGAACAGAATATGATTCAAAGCAAAGAATTATTGGGAAATGTTTTACAGATAGTGTTGTACTCATTATCACTAAATCAAAGCACATTTGTTCTGCAAAATATATTTCCCACTCAACGCTCACTAACTCTCAAATTTCCTCAAATTATATGTGAAGACGGATTTGAAGTGGAATTCTGTGCCGATCTCTGTCTCCAACTCCTCCGTCACTGCAGTTCATCCATAGGACACGTGAGAGCACAGGCGGCCGCCTCTCTCTATACACTAATGCGACAAAACTATAGCTCAAAAGCCCAGAACTTCGCCAAAATCAAAATGCAGGTCACGATGTCTTTGAGTCATTTGGTGGGAACCAGTAAATCATTTAACGAGCCATCGCTCAGACGTTCACTCAAAACAATGTTAGTCTACGCCGTGATTGACGCCGATATGCAAGAGTCGAATTTCCCGGAACAGGTCCAGGAGTTGGTCTTCAATCTGCATATGATTTTGTCGGACACCATAAAGATGAAGGAATACAAAGAAGACCCCGAAATGCTTCTCGACTTAATGTACAGAATAGCGAAGGGATATCAGAATTCGCCGGACCTTAGGCTCACTTGGCTTCAGAATATGGCTCAGAAACTAAGCGATCGAAACAATTACGCGGAGAGCGGCCAATGTTTCGTCCACTCGGCGGCACTCGTCTGCGAATATCTCAATCTATTTGGCAATAAGTCTTACCTTCCCGTCAGTTGTATTGCATTTCAAAAGATTTCTTCCAATATATTAGAAGAGAGTTTAGTGTCTAATGAAGTGCCGATTGATAACAAGGACGGACTCTTCACCGGCAAGTCGTTCAGTGAGAGCGGTCTCGTGGCTCTCGTAGAACAGGCGGCCGTTTGTTTCAATGCGGGCGGAATGTATGAAGCGGTTAACGAAGTCTATAAACTGTTGATCCCTATCGCAGAAGCACATCATGACTATAAGAAGTTGGCCTCAATTCACGGCAAACTTCAGGAGGTGTTCATCAAAATAGAACAGCAAACCGGCAAAAGAGTGTTCGGCACTTACTTTAGGGTCGGTTTCTATGGACCCAAGTTTGGAGACCTCGACAGAGAAGAGTTCGTCTATAAAGAGCCGTTTCTCACAAAACTTCCAGAAATATCTCATAGACTCGAAAACTTTTATTCCGACCAATTTGGGGCTGATTTTGTCGAAGTGGTCAAAGACTCGAATCCAGTGGATGTCAACAAATTGAATCCTGAAAAAGGTATTTATTTGTTTGCATTTAGTAATTCCTATTAACGCTTAAATTGTATTTCGTATTGAAGCTTATATTCAGATAACATATGTCGAGCCGTACTTTGATTCGTGGGAACTCGACTCAAGACAAACACCATTTGAAAGGAATTATAATATAAGTGAGTATTTGTGCATTTGGTTAATGAATGCATTGCTAACTGTTTTGAATTACAGAAAGGTTTATCTATTCGACTCCATTCACAATGGATGGCAGAGCTCATGGAGACCTACACGAGCAGTACAAACGAAAGACTATATTAACGACAATTAACTCATTTCCTTACGTCAAGACCAGAATTCTTGTTCAGGACAGACAACAGGTTTCATATAAACACTAATTATTGTTTATCACTATATATTAATGCATTCATTTATGTCATAATTAGGTTGTGTTGACACCCATTGAAGTGGCCATTGAGGACATCCAGAAGAAAACAGTGGAGTTAGCGGCCGCCACATACCAGGAGCCCATTGATCCTAAAATTTTACAAATGGTTCTCCAGGGCTGTGTGGGTACGACTGTAAATCAGGGCCCCTTTGAAGTGGCCTCTGTTTTCCTATCAGAGTCCGGCGCTCGACCCCCACAACAGAGACCTCCCTCTCCCCTACAGAATAAACTCAAATCTTGTTTCAAAGACTTTTGTCGAAAGTATGTCTGCACTAAAATTACGACTACGACTACAGCACTTAAAAGTAAATTAATAATTAACACACTTTTTATGAAACAATAGATGCGGTGACGCTCTCCGTAAGAATCGGGTTCTCATTGGAAACGATCAGAAAGAATATCAGAAGGAATTGGAGAGAAATTATTATAAATTCACCGAAAAGTTAGCGCCACTTATCAGCACTAATGGACAGCAGGCTCTACGGGCACTGCGAGAGACCTATTGGAACAGCTCTGCGAACATCGCTTTGAGGCCCAAACCGAATACTCTTTTGTGATTTTTCGGTATTTATTTATTTATTATTAATTTTATATTTTATTTATTTCATTATTTCAAACCAATTGTGTATTTCTTATAAATGCCTTAAATTCGTTACAAATGATTGCTTCAAATGAAATGACAAATAATGACTCGCAATTAAATTTATATACTGTATTATTTACTTTCTATACAGAAAAGTATTTAAAATGCAATTTACACATGAATTGTATCTCAAAATGAGAGTTTATATTAGTTTTTATTAGATTCTCATTACTGTTATTTAATAAAATTAGACAATATTTCTATAAAAACATGAGTTATTGTGGAATAACTTACATGATACAGGTATAGTAAATAAACTATTTTACTATATAACGAAATAAATGATGAATTTTGACTACATTTATATATTTTATTACTTTTTAATACACTGCCGGTAGTATAAAGTGAAGTGAAATAGTAAATGTATTTGAAATTTATTAAAACTTGACAATAATTCCTTGTGATGTTTTTATAAGCTTTAGTGTCTAATGCTTTTCGTAATCTCAACTCTTTTTTAAACGTCTGTTTAACTTCTAGTCGTTTTATACATTTTTTATTAAAATACTAATTTTTAAAATAAATAATCAGATTTTATTTAATCGCCTTTACAAATACAAATGTTATGAATACTTTTATTCCAACAAAAACACTTAATTTTTAATATCACTTTTGCCTTATTTTTCACACATTTTTACTCAGATTCACTCATTTTTTGTGTTAAAAATAATATTTATATTGAAATATCAATAATTTTTATTAATCTGTAACAAAGTGTTAATTATTTACTAAAAGTTATTATTGATGGATTTTTGGATCATTGTTTTTGATTAAATTTATTGCTTATTCTTTCAAGTTTTGTATTTATATTGTTTTAATTCTGTATTACATTCTGTATTAACTATTACTGTAAAAATATATTGGTTTAAAATATTGTCAAAATTCTTTACATTAATTCATTGTTTTGTTTTATCTCTTAACTATAAAATTAAATTTAAAAAATTGTGTAAAACATTATTAACATTTAAAATATAAAAAATAATAAAATAGAAATCAAATGATTGATTAAAAATACTGGAATAAAATTGCCATTAGTTCGAGAGAATATATAAAAATGGAAACAAAAACCAAAATATAATTAAATTATATTAAATTAATACATAAATAGTGAGGAATTGTTGCATTGAAATGAAATCTCTATCACAGGACTCTTAACTGTAAGCAAAGCTCCGATTAAGTGAACTATAGTTTTAGTACTTTATTGCGGAAGCAATTTGGCGCCATTGATGCCGCGCACCGACACCTTTTTGGGCCGAACCAGCAATCCGTGGTTCGGTTTGCACTGAAAATAGCGGACGCCGTTAATGGAGCCGTCATTCTTGCCGGTGGCTGTCCTCAACTCAACCCCTAATCAAATCAATTAAGTTATTAGAGATTATGACATTATTTTAAAGTGCTGTCAATCAACACATACCTAACCAAATGCCAGGTCCGGCGAATTCTACGGGTCCTATATATCGGACGACACCAATGCTGTTGTTGATGAACACATTGACGCCAACTGTAAGCCACGTGTTTGGCGGGGAACTGCTGTTTGGAGTGGAGCTCTGGGTTTGTTTAGTGGACGCCGTTTTGGTCCTCGCATGCGATGTTCGGCCATTATTAGCACTTTTAAACACATCGTTATCCATTGAACTCTGACTAATAGTTAGACTTAATTCAGAGGAATTGTCGTCTGAATCGTCAGTTTGTTTTCTATCCGTCAATACTCTCAATACTCTCGAGTTTGTCGTAAAAATGCCGTAATTTTGTTTGCAATCAAAATATCGGATTCCATTAACGGAACCATCATTTTTGCCCAATTGCTTCATTAATTCAATCCCAATAAATGTGCCTTAAATTGAAAATTCATTAAATATTGAGTTCAGTTTACTATAGCATTGCGTTCAATACCAGAAGCAAATTGTGTTTCGCCGATAAACCTAACGATTCCAACCCTTTTATCGTTAAGTAACACCCGTTTCCCTACCGATATGTCCATCGAATTAATACTTTTAGATTTCAGGGACGAGAGACCCGTTTCCACTTTGGGGGTCACGTGCGAGACGTCAACCCGTGGATGGTTTACGTTTCGCATTATCATTGAATTCATGCCTTTATAATACTTTCCGTAATTCTCATCAAATTTATTGATTTTGTTGATCGGAGCGAATATTCCGTGTTTTGGAGAACAGCTTATTATAAACACAAACTATGTTTAGAGGTTTGGCTCCAAATATCAATCTAATGTCTATTCATTACTCACCGAAAGTATGTGACACCACCAACAGTGCCATCATTTTTGCCTTCGGGCTCCAGGAGTTCAACGCCCGCCCAAATGCCTACCAATACAGGGATTGTTAAACAAAATATCGTTAACTCAATTAAATGTGTGACAAACCCGAAGCGAACTGAGCGGCGCCGCAATACTTCAAAGTTCCCACTTTTTGGTTACTTATGATCACGCGATCACCTAAACTGAGTCCCAATGCCAACAGAATTACTCTTCCCGTCTGGTTATCACTGTTTTCAATGCCTTCGCCCGGAATGCAGGCCAGAGTCGCTTCTTCTAACAGTTTCTTGAGTTGCGAACAGATTTCAAATGTCGTTTCGGTTGGCATCAGATCCGATGGAACGGTAGGTTCGGGAACACAGAACAGAGGCGTTCGGTTCAAGTCGTCTTTGAGCAGAATATTGGCGCCGCAGTTGAGCAGTACTTTCGCAGATTCCAGACACATGTTTGAGGCGGCGATATGTAGTGGTGTCCCGCCATCGAAGTCTCGGCACTGATCGTCAATTAAGACATTTTCCGTTTTGTCTAATAAGTACTGCAAGACTGGCGCGACGTCGAAGTACACGGAGTAGTGAATGGCAGACATATCAGTCCACCGACACCTCAACGACACGTCCGCGTTGAACGACTCGACCAAATACTGGGCCGTCTTGAGAGCCATTTCCACATTTCCGACGCCTTTGGCACCAGATTTGCAGACATAATGCAAAAGAGTCATATCAGTCAACTCGTCCCTATCGTCCGCGTGAGCCCCTCTGAGCAACACTTCGCGCACCAACACATCGATCGACTGCTGTGTCTGCGGAACCCATTGACGGATGATTGCAAAGAGTTGGCCGACACTGGTCTCCATATTTGAGACCAATTCTCGGCATCCGATGCAATGAGTGTTGAAGAAGGGAGACTCCAGTTCTTGACATGTCGTACAAAGTGGTGCATCACATGCCGCGTGGATTGTCGGCCCATTAGATCCATTAGACTCGCGTTTATCACCTCTTTCTTCATATCCATTGCCATTCGTGCCATTGTGTCCATTGTGTCCATTAAGGCTGAGGTCACCAATCGATATGTCAGAGAACTCGTGGATCAAGTGATTGATGCCATTGTCGTTCAAATGGTTGCTGTCATCAACCGATAGCAGACCACAATCTGTCACATCTGTAGATCCATTCAACTCTTCATTATTCATGTTTTGATTTCTATAAAAACTGTTGACAAAAGATCTTAAGACAAACCACGGATAAGACATAATCGGGAGACAAGTGTCGACTGAAAACACTTACAATAAATTCATGAAACAGCAACACTTCGCGCACCAACACATCGATCGACTGCTGTGTCTGCGGAACCCATTGACGGATGATTGCAAAGAGTTGGCCGACACTGGTCTCCATATTTGAGACCAATTCTCGGCATCCGATGCAATGGGTGTTGAAGAAGGGAGACTCCAGTTCTTGACATGTCGTACAAAGTGGTGCATCACATGCCGCGTGGATTGTCGGCCCATTAGATCCATTAGACGAGCGTTTATCACCTCTTTCTTCATATCCATTGCCATTCGTGCCATTCGTGCCATTGTGTCCATTGTGTCCATTAAGGCCATTAAGGCTGAGGTCACCAATCGATATGTCAGAGAACTCGTGGATCAAGTGATTGATGCCATTGTCGTTCAAATGGTTGCTATCATCAACCGATAGCAGACCACAATCTGTCACATCTGTAGATCCATTGAACTCTTCATTATTCATGTTTTGATTTCTATAAAAACTGTTGACAAAAGATCTTAAGACAAACCACGGATAAGACATAATCGGGAGACAAGTGTCGACTGAAAACACTTACAATAAATTCATGAAACAAACTCTTCATTATTCATGTTTTGATTTCTATAAAAACTGTTGACAAAAGATCTTAAGACAAACCACGGATAAGACATAATCGGGAGACAAGTGTCGACTGAAAACACTTACAATAAATTCATGAAACATTGAATGCATTTAACATTGAATTAACATTAAGCCATAAACTCGTGATCTCTTCGTATGGTATCCAAGAAGTCGTGACATCCACTCAATTCGTGACCATTGAATCCATGAATCCGTTAATCCGTTCATTCAATAACTCATTCATAAATCCATACAATTGTCTCAAACAACAGATACTTTGCATTTGTTTCGTGTAAACAAACACTAAAACTATTTGACAGTAAAACACAAAAACTAATTAACAACTGATGAGTGGTTTGACGGATATATTCATGAAATACTGATTACGAAAAAGTGTATAAAATATGTAAATAATAAAAATCTCAATAAATTAATGAATTTCTGTTTCACACAAAACTTTTTTGTCGACAACTTTTTGAATGAGTTGCTACACAAAAGTCGCCAAACTTTGAACCCATGGATCAAATGGATATCCTTTGCGATATGTTTGCCAAAGTGACGCCAAATTTGATTTATCTGATGATAAGTTAGTGAAACAATTGATTGGAAATGAATGCACAAAATACTAATTAATTGTATAATTAGTTTGAAGGTAAAGGTGTTGTACTGGAGTAGTGGTGAACGCAGTCGTGATGCCTGTGCATGGGTTCATCCAATTGAATGAGTGTTTGGCAGAGACTTTCCCATTGAGGGGGTGAGGGATGGCATGTGTTGTGGAGTTGTGAGTGTCGGCTAACCATTGAAACCATGCATTTGTACAGTACTGTAGTGTAAGGCAAAGGGCATCGACTTATAGCCAGTGTTTTGTTGTAGACTTTGTCTGTGCGTTGGCTTTCACTGCAAACACTCATTCATTCATTCATTCATTCATTTTAATCATTAAATGCATTCAAAGATTGTTTCCAAACACTTCTCATGTCTTGTCTATCATGTCATGCATTCATTGCTATCATAACTGCATCCTTGCATCCAATCAATGCATTCAACTCATTGTCAATTCAATCATTATGTCTGAAA